CTAGAAAAACAGTATCACTGGGGACCAGCAGTTAGAATTATGGCTATGTCTCTGGACTCCCATGTAGTCGGCCACGGTTCGAGTCCTGGATCCGGTGGCTTAAACTCACGCCGGGTGCGTGTGCGTGCGTGCCCAAGATCCCTAGAGGAGAATGGAAGAGGAGGGCTTTTGGCATGGCCATCCCCCCTGGGGGGGTGATTTCTCACTTTCTATCTCTCTGTATCTCTCTGTCTGTCTGGCAAGCACACGTGCCCTATAGCAAAAACCTCTCCAAAAAAAAAAAAGAAAAAGAAAAGAAAAACAGTATCACTGACTATGATTAACTCTGTTTGAAGATCCTGGGAATCATTCCTATTTTTGTGTACATACAACTCTTAAGTTTCATAAATAAAAAAAAATAACAGTAAGCAATACTGCATCAGGTAATAAAAGGAGAAATGAAATCTCCACTTGCATCATGTAGCATCTGAGTATTACTTAGGAAATGATGACCCTTACTATGTAAGTCATGATTCACAATAGACATACCCTAAAACAGGTAGAGATCTGGTTACACATAGTTGAATCAGTCGCTCCAAATCAGCTTAGCTCAGGCAGAGGGATACAATGCAAGTGTGAATATGGGTTTAAACACTCTAAAACTGTCAGCACTGTATGAAAAGTAACTGAAACTGCACACTCTACTGATGCATAATCATCAGACATTAAAGAGGGCACATTGCTGTAATTCATTGTTACTCCAGTGATCTTAAAGAATTAAGACCACATTCATACAGTCTAAATTTGTCTCCAAGGAGTAGCTTTGAGTTGGGGAATATCTGGATCATTAAGTAATTTCCTTAGGTCAGAGTAAAAGCACTTTATCTCTGAATATTACTTCCATGGCATATTGGATGTAGCAGAAGTTAGTAACAGAGTGACCTTTCTCTTAAACAATTCATAGATTCACTAGAATATTCTTCAACTTTAGGGAATTAAATGCATTCCATGGTGATAAAATCTTAAACATGGAGTTTCCCCTGAAATCTTTACTTATCCTGCTCACCACCATTCTCTCTTCAAACATTTATGTTCTTCATAATTTTTGTTTAGTTAATTTTCATTTCAAGTCAATTTGTTCATCATATGTTCAGGTGAGTACTCCATTATTGATAAATTAACATTTTCATAATGCATTTTGTTTGACTGTTTCATTTTCTCTTTTGTATTTCAAGATAAACTACTTCATTACATATAGTTTTAAATTGGTTGTTTCTGTCTTTTACTGAAAATAAAATAGCACAATCGCAATTACAGGGAAAGAAAAGTTATCTTCTGGAGAATACTTGAAACACGAATATCTACAACAGATAAGATTTGTTGCTATGATAGAGATACTGTCAATATACCATGCAGAGCCTTGGTCTTGAACAAAAATATTCCTCAGGATATGACACAGAAGTGGGATTGCCTAAATTGGATTAGGAAAAAAAAATAGAGAGAAGAGGCCAGCCTTAGTGGCATAGTGATAACAGAATGCCCAAGATAGTGACGCCACGTGGGAAGGTCCTGAGTTCGCATTCTGAGGTCTCCCTGTATACCTAAGGGATGCACACGGGTGCCCAGGCTTCTGAGTGGCTGAAGCTCGGGGCTGGATTGCAACATGACGACTCTGTTGGGGGTGCCTATCTTCCTCTCTCTAGCCTTCAATTATAAAATAAATACTTAAATACATTTTTTTAAAACTGAAAATAAACAATTTTTCATCGATTATTAGAGTGGTGAACCATTTCCACAAGGTAAGAAGAGTGCACTTGAGAATGGAGTCCAAATACTCTAGAAGCATAAATTTAAGTTCTGGATCAACAGTAACTCTGATTTAGCTTGATCATAAAGGGTGAGAGGGAAGATATCAATGAGAACATGAAAGAAAGAAAACTGTTAAGAAACACAACATGGAAAATTATCTGTTGAAGGGACCAGCAGTTAGCGTAATGGCTATGTCACTGGACTCCCACATAGTCGACCGCAGTTCAAGTCCCGGACCTGGTGGCTTAAACTCACGCTGGGCACGTGTGTGTGTGTGTGCCCAAGATCCTGAGAGGAGAATGGAGGAGAAGGGATTGCGGCGTGGCCATCACCCCTGGGGAGTGATTTCCTGCTTTCTGTCTCTCTGTCTCTCTCTGTCTGGTGAGTGCATGCGCCCTATAGCAAAAATCTCTCCAAAAAAAAAGAAAAAGAAAATTATCTGTTGAAGATAATATGCATACTGATATCTTTGGGCCAATATTCAGTGTATTCTGGATAGGAAAAATTCATTTTGTATGCTGTAATGACATATAATGAATGAATATAGAATTATAAGGGAAAGCAGAAATAACAGGTAGCATAAGTCTAAATAGGTCTCCTGTATGTTTGGTTTTATATGTATAGGTAGAGTTGCGCAGAAAGGCATTACTAATACATGTAAATATTTTATTTTTATCATTTAATTCACAAGTTGTGCTTATACTTTTTGTGCATTTATCTGAGAAGAGCTTATTATAGAAATACAGTTTAAGAGTGCCTGGACTGGGGTTGGCAGGTGGCATAATGGTTAGGGTGCTGGACTCTTCTTACATGGCTGACCACGGTTTGAGTTCCAGACATGGTGGCTTGGTTTCTTACTCTCCTTTTCTTTCTCTCTGTTTCTTATTGGTAAAATTGAAAAATAATAATAAATAAATAGTTCTTTAAGAAAAAGTGCTTGGACTAACTCATAGCACATGATACGGCCTTATGTTCAGAAGAAATACCCCTATATATTTAAAATTAAGAAAGAAGAAGGGTTCATTGAAAAACAATGGAATCTCTTAATAACCAATGAGAATTTTCAGTAATGACACATGCCAAAAATATATATATATATTTTTTTGTTTTACAGAGATCTTTTGCTATAGCATGGATGTGTTTGCCAGAGAGACAGAGAAAAAAAAATAGAAATCACCCTCCAGGGAGGATGGTCATGCCGTAATCCCTTCCCCTCCATTCTCCTTTGGGGATTTTGGGCACGAATGCACATGTGCCCCACATGATTTTGAAGCCACTGAGTCCGGGACTCAAACCCTTATCAACTATGTGGGAGTCCAGTGCCAACCACCATACCACCTGCTGGCCCCGTGGCAAAAGTTTAAAAAGCTTATTCTTACATAGAATTTTCCGATTTCAGCACAGCAAATTATACAGCAAGAACGAACTCCAATACAGCCAAAGCTGGAGCCACTTCATTTTCTCACTTAACTACCCTTCATGTCATTTTACTGATTTCTTCTCTCTTTGAGCACTAGAGGCACTCTTCTTGTATAAGGGTTCCAACTCTGCAGTACTTCCCATTTCTCTAAATTGACACAACAAAAGACCTAATTGTATAATAAGAATTTCTAGTACCATAAAGGGATGTGTGTGTTTGCTTTACTGTTTCGGTAATAAAGAATCACTCAGAGGCCTGACCGTGGTGGCACAGTGGAAGGGCATCACGGTGCATTGCTGAGGGTCTTAAATGCATGCTAACATTTCCAACTTACATGAAGTAGGCACTGAGTTAAACTATTTACCCACTAAACAGCATTGTCTTCTTAAATGCTTTGCTTTTTATTCAAGTATTTTTTTCTCCCTCTATTAAAACCAATTTAAAAAAAAAAAAATCAACCTCCTCCCTTTTTCTGGATTACTTTCTGATAGGGCATTCTGATTCTCAATTCTGCTTCCAAATCTCCAGCAATCACAACACTGCGTCGAAAAGGCAACTCAGAAAATGTAGAAGAAACTGAATAACAGATTTGCAGCTCAATGCGTGCGCATTAAAATTTGAAATCTACCTGAACTACTTTGAGCTGATTTCTCAAGGCAAGGCGAGAACATGGTCTTTGAATGCCTGATAAGGTCACATATGCAATTTCAAGTGCATTTGTAGTAAATCCATGTGACAACTCATATAGCCACTAACCTGCTTTTGCCCTGCATGTGTACTATCTTCATTGCATGTCCTGGAAAGTTGTAGGGGAAGCAGAAGTCCTCTGAGACACAACAGACTTAGAGAAAATATTAGCAATAGCTCATGTACAAGTTTCAAGTTGTGGCCTGGATGTGATGCATAACTTTATTTTCCAAATGTGATAGAAACTAAAACTTCCTTTGAAATAAACTGAAGGTTTGGCTTCAATAACTGAGGAATGAAAATTATAATTTAGACAAGTCATAAAGGTGGAATTCTTAACTTATTGACCTTATAGTACATGTTAGAGGGCTTTGTATATTTAGGCAAATATAGAAATTTGAGTTTATAACATTTAAATTATTAAGGATGATGCTACTATAAGCTAATTATAAATTTGCTCTAATAATAACTTCACCATAGTATTTGAATTTTGGCTTGATAGCTTAAATACTGTGGATTTTTTATACCTGAAAAGGAAACAACATTGGTTTTCTGGACTCTATCTATAGTTACAAAGGTTGCTACACACCCCATTTGGGACCATGTTTAGGTCATATGGGATGCACAATTTGGATAATTTACTTTGAGCTAATACTATCTGATATTTGGTGAAGTGTGATAGTTATCACTTGCACTGTGCAGGTGTTGGGAACTGTAATGACAATTTCTATATAAAATGTATTTTGTACTTAAAGTTTCAAAGTATTCTAGGAATTCAGATTAAATCCATAGGTTGGAAAATACTAAAAAAGTTTATACATTGTGCTGTTGGAAAGCTCATAATGCATTTTTGCATAGGAAAACATAGAAAAATAATCATGACTTTCCCAACAACCTAATCTCTCAGTGACCATTTTATAATGGAACAGAAAGAAAAACTTAAGCAGAAAAAAAACAAAGTTGAAAAAATAGGTGTAGATAATTGCACCCTCCACAGTTGAAGGATAATCTTCTGGGTTCTTAATCATGTATTTTTATCAACCTGCAAAATGTAAGTATCAAAGAGGTCTTAAGGCATCTAAGAGATTCTGATTTGTTTACTCACCCACAGGAGACATTTCTGGAACACTAGCAACATAAGGTCCATCCAAAAACTTTGGCTCGTTATCATTAATATCCTGTACTTTGATGATGAATTCAGATTCAGGTTCCAGGGGCTTCCTGGTTTCTATGTCCACAGCCTGAGCACGGAGGGTATAGAAAGGTTTCTCTTCTCTATCCAGGCTCCTTATTGCATGGATGTCCCCTGTGGTCTCATCAATGGTGAAAACAGTGCCAGCGCCATCTCCTGAGAGGGTGTATTTAACCGTGCCCTCTCCCTTATCTAAGTCAGAATGGAGCTTTAATAGGGAGACAGAGAAAGAGATAGAGAGAAAGAGAGAGACAAAACACATTATTAAAGGACTGTTGTCATGTTCAAAAGTTATACTTTGTAGGATATCTTTAATTAGAAATGTTAAATTGTAATGTTTATATCCTTGTTTGATGATCACGCATTGTATGCATGCTTTAAAAACTATACTGCACCTCACAAATATGTACAATGTTTAAATGTAAATAAGAAATTATAATAAAAAGTAATAAAATTTTAAAAACAAAACCCTTTTGCTTTTATCCTCCCTATTTTTGATTATCCAAATTTTAAATGCACAGAAAATTTGAGAAAATGCAAATTGAACCGTTAAATATACTCACATATCTCAGATATTCCACCATTCAACTTTTAATTCATTGCCTTATCACATAGATCAGATATTCATCCATTCTACCTTCTCTCAATCTGTCCTATTCATTGATGCATTATGGTGATGAAAACAGAAATATGACCCCAAAATACATCAACAGGCTTACAGATAACTGACTTTAAACATGTTAGTTCCTTTGTATCCCTCTGGGGATAAGATTTTCATAAAATAAAATGCATACCTCTTAAGTCTATTTACTGTTTCATAATCAATGACCATTGTAATCTAAATAAAAGAGCTTGTTAGTACCGAATCATAAGCCCTCCAAATATCATGAAGATAGAAATGAAGAACATAAATCAACTCAGTGGTAGAGAGAAAGGAACTCAGAAAACACTGATCTTTTTCATTTTAAAGGAAACTGAGAGCCAAGGCATGCTCAGAAGTCTTTGATTATGTATGTTAGAGCAATTCAATTTAACAGTTTGAATAAGTTATCTAATATTAGCCAAATGATTGGTAAAAATGACTGATTATTCTTTCAGATCCACTGATAAATGGATTTTTCCAATTATTTTATTTATAGAAGTTATTCTTTATAATATATACTATTCAAAACTCACTGAATTTCATTTAAAATTCAGCACATGTATAGCTCACTATATTATATAATTAAATGATATACACATGAGTAGCAATAAGAAAGAAAGGCCAATGTAAGAGAATTTATCTTTGTGATAATTATAATTGTGATTGCGATAATCAGTGTCATCCAAACAGGAGTCCAAGAATAAATGAAAAGCACACATGGTCTTTGATATCTCTGAATTATTCAAGAATAAGTAAACACATACATAAAATAGCTTATTAAATAAAAGACTACATTGTCATAGTTAAGAACATATATTCTGAAAGATAATAGAAATGCAAAATTACGTGAACATAATAATATGTATTCTTACAGATAATATAACATGGAGTACTTCTCATTCAGATGCTGATCTAAAATGTTCTTGACTATTCCATCCACGTGGATATAGTCATCTGGTTTGTGTCCAAGTTTGTATATTTAAAAGCTCATTCCAGTTAACAGATCTCCCCCTCCTTACACACACCAGAAAAGTTAAACTTTTACAGTGCTTATAACCATTTGGACCATGCTTTGAAATTTGCATAAAGGACTGATCTCTTGCAAAAAATTCGGTTAAGAATAAATTTTATTTTGCTTAGTGTTTCAAGACAAAAATGTTTTGAAAATATTCAAAATTATATAGTCTTTTGAAAATTGACTGTGTTAGCATTCTGTGTATTAGCATTAGTAACAGCAAAACACAAATAAGATTAAATATAAGTTCCACTTAGGTCACATCATTGTTCTTCAACTCTATATTCTGGTTTAAGATTATTTAAAAAAAAAAAAAAAACCTTGCTCTTAAAATTATTAAGATGAATTTATATATTTTGCAAATTTGTATTTACTTCAAAATTTGCTCTGAAAGTCTATTTAAATACATGTATAAGAATCCATGATTTATACCTGGGTAAGTGGCATAATTAAAGAAATAAAGCAACAATAAGAGGGCATAGGATTTTTATTTTTCTTCAGAAGTTTTTGTATTTTTCCCTCAAGGATAAGAAAATTTGCTATGAATAATAGGAGAATTTTTGCCGCCTTGATTTTTCAAAAACTGCTGCGAAGCACAGGAAGTTTCAAGCGTAAAATCAAGCTGTAGATAAATGTTCTTTGAACTTAAAATTTCAAATGACAAATTTCAGCCATATTATTAAAGCTATTCAACACAGTGGGTATTGCTATTGCTTTCAAATTTATCTAAAGATATGAGACAGGCAGAAAGCTCAATGCAAAAGGAATGACTTAATAAACTGGATCCATTTTGCAAATGACTGAAAAGAGTATGTGGTAATAGTGTGGGAACCAAATGAAAATTTTAAGTAGGTTTTCATAACATGATCTAGAAGAGTCATACACACATGCACACACACACATGCACACACACACACACACACGCACACCCTTTGCATTTAGCTAAAATCAGAAAGTTTTCTTTTCAAACTAGCATAAGAATGAAAAAGCAAATGTGTTTTCAGTTCAAGATCCAACTAATATTCACCTCCTGCTACATTTTTATTTTTTCCTTCCAATTTAAAGGTGAGATTTCCAATTCAAGGACTCAGAAGAAAGATACAAAAATAAGTAAACATTTTGAGCTGAAAATCAGGTTGATAAACTGAACACTGGTGAGATTTTTTTTGACTTTTGGTAGGAATTCATCACGTGATACTATATTAAAGGGGATCACGAGCAATGTCCCTTGTTGACAGGCAAAATGTATGTGTTATTCAGAGCCTAATGATTTAAGCTTATGGGTGGCTGATGTAAGCTATAGATGCTTTTCTAATATCAGTTCTAGCATTAATCATATTAGCCTGCTGTTGGATATTACAAAACTTTCTATGTTTTAAATATAAAATAATTTCGCCAGAGAACAGTATAAAGTAAAAATTCCCATCTTCCTTTCACCTAGAAATAACTTCTTTTTAGCATTTTTATGTGCTTCATTACATAAATATATAACTGAAAGGTTATAGATGTGTATTTATATATTCACTCTCTATATACATCTGTATATATTTCTCTGATTGTATATCCACATACATATGATATATAAATTGAGTCAATACTTTTATAATTATTAATTTAATTTAATTTATTATTGTTATTTTTCATTTGAACAGAGAGAGAGAAAGCGGGAAAGTCATAAAGCAAGTCGCCAGGTCCCGTTATTGAACCACGGTGGCCATGTGAGAGTCCAGTGCCTTAACCACGACGACACCTGCTGCCCTGGACTCGACATTTGCTAATTACAAAATACTGTGATCATTTTTTGGGGGGGAAGAATTGCTAATTACAAAATACTGTGATCATTTTTTTGGGGGGAAGAAGTTTCTGCTATGGGGTGCATACATTCACCAGAAAGAGAGAGACAGAGAGACAGGAAGTGAAAAATCACCCCCTGGGGGGACGGTCACACCACACTCCAGTCTCCATTTATTCTTCATTTTATTTTAAGTTGACCAGAGTAAGACAAACATACAGAGAGAAAGAAAGTGAAAAGGCCAGCCACTAGGTCTGGGACTCAAACCGTGGTTGGCCATGTGAGAGTGTCCAGTGCCTTAACCACCATGCTACCTGCTGACCCCAGTAATTGTATCAATTTTAAAAGAAAGTCGAATTGTGAATGATTCCAGAAATTGATCTCTGCAGATGAAATTGCTTTCTCAAATCTCTTGGCAAGGGAATTCAGACTTAGTTTGTACTGCGAAGTCAGTTCTCAGCCCTCTGCATAAAGAAGGAAGGTCGATACTGAAGGATTCACACATTGTACTTGATCGTAGGCTATATTCACTATGAACAACCACGTGACACCACTTTACACAGCCATTTTAAGCTACACCTACAGCAAGTTAATAATTCCACAAAGATAAATGTATTTTCCTTACAGCTATTTAAAAATAAGACAGAAATACTTCTTCTTCCAATTATTTTTAAAAAGTTGTTTCTGAGTAGGTACTGCCTACATTTACTGAGTGAACCAGTCAACTCCAATGATAGCATCTTTTAGTATTGACACTTAAAATAAAATTTCTCCCAGAAACAGAGTTCCATAAACGATGGATGTCGAAATAGGAACTGTCCAAGCAGTTGTTTTGCGGGGTGGTGGTGTTATTTTCCGATGTTTTTCAAGTGCTCTCAGATGGTGCGTGAAAATGAATGCCAAGAGAGGCTTTAAAAAGATACTGAGGACTAGTTTTAGTGCATAAGCAACTCTTGAATTCCAGTGCTTAAAAGTTTTGAGAAAGCTAATTTAAAGTTAAATGTTTACTAGCACCTCTCTGATTATATTTTAGAAACTATTGCGTGCGCGCGCGCGCACACACACACACACACACACACACACACACAATAAAAGCATTTATTTTTATCTTTCCTAGCTTGAAAAGTGCACATAAAATAGGAAATGCATTGTATAACATTATGTCCAGCAGTGATTTTATTTTTATTTGCCATTTGCCAGAATAGGGGATATTTACCAGGCGTGGAGAGAGCATGAGTGTATAGGGAGGACGAATTTCTGATTTTGAAAAGGTAGCTTTTGTATGAAAACTAAAAATTGTGTTCAATCAATTCTTTTACTAAGTCACACACAGTAACACTCGCCAGAGAGAGGGAAAGGGAGAGAAAGGGGAGATGATCATGCCACAATCCCTTCGCCTCCATTCTCCCCTAGGGATTCTGTGCACTCATGCACACACACTTGGTGTGCTTTTCAAGACAACAGTTCTGAAACTCGAACTAAATAGTTGTCCATGTGGAAGCCAGCTGCCTTAATGGCTTAAGCACCATGCCACCTGGCTGGCCCTGTGTATATACACAATTCCTTACGATAAATTTCTACATATATGTATTTGTATACACACACACACATGCTATAGAAATGCCATTGAGTTTTTAAATTTCAATTTCTTTTATATATCCAATCACATGTTACTTAGCTCACAAAGTGAACATTCAACACGTCTACATTTCTCATCAGTCCAGTTGAGAATACTATACACATTATCTTCAACAGATG